CCGCCACGCTCGTCGCCGCGCTCCTCACCTACTGGCTCGCCAAGCACGCGGACACGCTCTTCAAACACACAGACAATATCCCCAATGACGCCGCTTCGGGGTGAGTTCATCCGGTTTACACTACTTTTTGCACCAATACAAATATGACACACATTCAAAGTACAGACGATGCATAATCTCTTTCTATTGGGAAGTCGGTAAAAGTAAAGCGTAAATATAGATTTTTGTTATGTACAAAATTTATGAATCATTTTTTCTTATAAAAACCCTTACACTTGTAACTGTATAATTTCATATCAACCAAATGCTTGGTTCACATTATGTCAATACTTGTAAATGAAGATTGGTACACAAATACTATGACAACATTAACTGCAAGTGTCCTACTGTAGTGGCATAATGTAAATGACACTAAGACAAATATGAAAAAACTTCTACACTTATTTAATGGGTTTTTATGGGAGTCTCAGATTTGACATGTGAATATAAAAAAAATACTTATGTAATTATCTTGTTTCAGAATACTGCGTACTGTAAACTGTTAAGATCGTCGGCATAAGAAGCAAATAGATTTAAGTACTAAATATTTTGTATATATGACATTTTTCGTTTAACTTATCGTAACTATGGTGTAAATTATTTAAATAAATGCTTTGGCTACTGGCTTGGCATGTTTTTGCTTTATTTAAATTAATGAAATAAATTATTGATGTTCACTTAAAAACTTTCGTTAGGAAGTTATAGAAATAAAAATAACTGAAATGTTTCTAATTTATAGAGGATGATAATCACTAATTTTGTTCACAACCAAAAACAAAACACTAACTTTCAATAAAATTAATACCGCTTTAATTATGTTGTTTTAATACGGGCCCCTATTATTAAATTGAACGACATTTCAAATTTTCCCAATCTCCTACTTACCTCCCCACTACTCCTGTCAAAACTTATCTGTTTTTTGACAGTTCAAATAGTGATGTCCTTCGTTCGTTACTTGTTATCGATTTGAAGTCGGATGAAAATCGATTTTTAGGAAGCGTAAATCGAAATAAATGGTTTTTTACTATGTTCCAGAAACAATCACTTGTTTAGATGACTGTTAACATTTTCTCATTGACAATATAAATTTTCGTGTATTCGTGTTCTCGTAATTGTTTCGTGTGCAAAATAAAATGTTACAGAACGAACGAAAAATATTGCATAATAATCTATTATAAGGTTAGAGTTTAATTTCTTTACATATTAAATCGATTTAAATAATCGATAAAGAACATCACTGGCTGCTACGACCACAAAGAACGTGCAAAAATGTTGATTAATTCAGTTTGTCGAGTCAGTTTGCTGAAAAGTAGTCGCACGTTGATCGCTTGTACATCTCGGCCGGTCGATTTTACTTTATTTTATTCAACTACAGTTAAGCAAGTTCCTAAAATTATGGCAAATAAAACATTGCCGCAAATTTTCACGTTTGTCGATCAGAATACCGAATCTTACAAGCAACTTCTTAAAGATGCAGTTGCAATTCCTTCAGTATCTTGTGATGTAAAGTACCGAAATGATTGTGTACGTATGGTTCATTGGATGCAAGACAAGTTAAAAGAAGTCGGTGCGACTACTGAGCTTCGGGATGTAGGTTTCCAAAAAATAGATGGCACAGAAGTAGCATTACCACCAGTATTAGTCGGTACATTAGGAAATGTAAGTATTTTTCATAATCAAATGCTCCTATAAGAACTTTGCCGCGTAACACGTTAGTAGCAATATATTTATAATTGTTTTGCATTTTCTTATTAGTTTTTATTAATGAGTAGACTTCTACCTGATTATTTTTGTCAAATAAGAATAAACTGTCTATTTTAGGACCCGAAGAAGAATACTATTTGCGTTTATGGACACTTGGATGTGCAACCAGCTTTGAAGTCTGATGGATGGGATTCGGAGCCATTTGAGCTGCAGGAGCGTGATGGAAAATTATTTGGACGTGGTTCAACTGATGATAAAGGTCCTGTACTTGGTTGGCTTCATGCTATTAACGCTTATAAAGGGATTGGAGAAGAGGTAAGTAAGGAGGAAATTTTTGTTTGAAATTAGTAATTGATTACATTATGTTCAGACCAAATAAGCGAGTCATTAACTAGACAGAACACAGTCCAAATAATGTTTTACAACTACTTAAGTATTATTATAAAATTGTATTTCAATAATTTTGAATATGTCTGTGTTATCATGTTACTAAATTAATCTAAACAGAAAAAAATTAGAGTAGACACACTAAAACAGTATCCTTCCATGACATATTCAAACTTAATATGTTATGTAATAAATAGATGTTACTTGTTGGTAAATATGGTAATATAAGGATTAAGACCAAGGTGTTCTAACTAGGCAAACCACTTGTATAGGTAATAACTGACTATAAAATTGCTTATGTATTAAAATGTTTATTAATGTACTAACTTTTGCTTGTGACTTTGTCCGCATGGAATTAAAAAAAAAAAACAAAATTCTTCAGGACTATCATCTGCATCTGTGCCAAATTTCATTGAAATCGGTTCAGCAATTTAGGCTACAATCTCTAACAAACATCCATCTAAACTTTCGTATTTATAATATTAGTATGATTTATCTGTGCACTAATGTTGATATTTTAATCTTTTTTTTGTAGCTACCCGTAAATTTGAAATTCGTTTTCGAATGCATGGAAGAGTCTGGCTCTGAAGGTTTAGATGAATTACTTATGAGCAAGTTGAAACCAGAAGGTTTCTTTGATGATGTTGATTATGTATGCATCTCCGATAACTATTGGCTAGGAACCACTAAGCCTTGCATTACATACGGACTGAGAGGAATCAGCTACTACTTCCTGGAGGTTGAATGCGCTAAGAACGATCTTCACAGCGGTGTGTATGGAGGAACAGTGCATGAAGGTAATAAAAAAATATAGTAACGATTATGGGATACAACTTAAATATGTTTGTTTTAAATAATTTTTTGTATTTACTAACAAATTATTGTTTTTAGCAATGACTGATCTAATATATCTTATGAATGAATTAGTTGATAAAGACGGCAAGATTCTTATAACTGATATTTACAAGTCTGTGGCTCCGATGACAGAGAATGAGAAAAATCTTTACTCCAGCATTGATTTTGATCCTGAAGCATACAGGTAATTAAAATATAGATCTTTTAACATTAATAACTTGAGTGAAATTTCTGTAGAAAACACTTACATCTATTAATCATACTTCATACTTCATACTAATATTATAAATGCAAAAGTTTAGATGGATGGATGTTTGTTAGAGTTTGTAGCCTAAATGGCTAAACGGTTTTCGTTGAAATTTGGTATAGGTGTAGAGGATAGTCTGGAAGAACACACAGGCTACTCGTTTTTGTTTTTTTTTATCTTTTTTTATATAGTATATCTTATAAAAGTAACTTTGTCAAATAGGTTGAGTTATTCAATACTGAAATACAATACTACCTAATTGTTTTTTTTTTCACTGATAATCAAAGTTTTTTCAAGGTAAGCTATTGTTATAGTTAATAATGGCATACTCAATATTGATATAAATATTGTTTTACTATTATTGCTATAAATTCAATTGTCTTAAATTAGACCCACTTTACTATTTATTTATTTTGATTTCTGACTGAAATTATTGAAACAAAACATTTTTCTTTGTACATGTATGGTATTATCAGAAGATATTTTGTTCTCATAAATTCAGATAGGGCATTTATACAAATAAATATTATCACTCTCTAAATCCATCATGAAGATAACAATATCTGTTAACATTTAGCAATCATTTAATTACAAGTACTTAATTTTATCTGACATAACAACTGAATATTTACACTTTTTTACTATTTTATAGCAAATTATTAGCAAAACTTAAAAAATCGCATTTAACTCTTTTTTTAATCTTAGTAATATTGTAAATGCAAAAGTTTAGATGGATGGATTGATGTTTGTTAGAGTTTGTATTCTAAAAGGCTGAATGGATCTTGAAATTTGGCACACACAGAGGACAGTCTGGAAAAGCAAATATGCACTTTTGTTTTTTTTACCACCACCATACCACGCGGACCGAGTCGCGGGCAAAAGCTAGTTTACTTATAACGATAGGTATAAACAAGACAATGTTTCATGTAATTTTATTTATCAGTAATGTATTATCAAGTTTGCAATATGTAGCAGTCATATGTTGCTTTTATTAACTACATTGCTATTTGCTAATAGAAGTACCAATTCACATTGATAAAGGTTTCTATGCGCTGTGGAAAACTTCACACCTTTTAACTTACAAGATTAGACAGAGTTATTGACTGCTATGATAATAAAAAATAGGTTTGATATTTAACACAATAGACTACACCCGCACAGGATATTGGTAGCCAAACTATACAAAAAAAAAATAGTAGGGACCTGTTAGAATATAGGTTAGAAAACATATTGGTTAAGGTTACCAAAGTAATATCCCAGTTGAATCCCATATTTACTTGTATAATATTATTTATGAATACTTTTGGTTATAAGACCTAATTAATTCATGTCAATTAGATGGTTTGTAACGGATTTCAACAGTGATTACTTTGTAGAAACTCCCAACTAACAGACACTTGTCTTCAACAATAAAAATTTGTTCATTATTAATTGAATAAAGGTCATATTTTTTGAGCTGTGTATACATTTATAGGCGCACAATAAACGCCCACAAATTGCTACACAATGGGGTCAAAGAGCAAGTACTGATGCATCGCTGGAGATATCCCAGTCTCTCGTTACACGGAATTGAAGGTATGTCTAATATTTCATTTAGTTTATTTTCTCAAAAGACAGTGATTTAAATCAGAGTTGACTTTAGTACTTAAGTACTCTGTTTAATTAATTATATATCCGATAAAATGTAGATTAATATTGAATAGTTCCCGTGCGTCTTAATTCATGAAATTATAACAACTTTATTTTATTGTTTAATGCACAAATGACTATGAAAACCTTTGACATTGGATAATAATTAACGTTACCATGGCAACTTTACTTCCTTGATGTTATCTTGTAGTTTTTGCCCCTTTCCCGCCTGACGGTATTTTCCAAATTATTTACTCCCTAAGTTTAACAGCGTAAAAATATACAGCCTAAAGCTCGTCGAAGTGTAGGTAATTTTATTTAAAATATGGTTTATTCAAAAATGTATTGTGGTTGCTGACATTCTATATAAATAAGTAGTGTGTGTTTACTATGTGTATAGAACTATAGATAATAGATTTTGTCTATTTCTTTAATTTTTTTAAATTGTTGTTATATAATTTCCCCAGGCGCTGCATTCCAGCCTGGCGCGAAGACAGTGATCCCTGGAAAGGTGATTGGCAAGTTCTCCATACGCATCGTCCCCAACCAAGAACCAGAGGAAGTCGAGAAACTGGTCTTTGATTATGTCAACAAAAAGGTAATCATAATAATAGGAAATGTGAAAGTTAAGATGGATGGATGGATGGACTTTATAGCCTAAAATGCTAAATGGATTACAATGAAATTTGGTTTAGATGTAGAGCATAGCCTGGAAAAGCACATAGGCTACTAACTTTTTTAAATTCCACGCAGACGGAGTCGCGGGCGAAAGCTAGTTTTATATATTGCGTTATAACTTTAGTATTTATATTAGTTTCTTAATGTCAAGAGGTTGAAGTTATATGATTTAGTGGCCATATGTGAATAGTTATTAGTTATTACTTGTTAATTTACAAAAACATAAAATTATGTATTACAAGTTTTGATATTCCTATAACAATTACAGAACACAAAATAAGTACATAAGTGTATTATAGACAAAAAAAATTATTGATACAAAATACAAACAGAAACATTTTTGTTTTGTTCTCTAATATATTTGTTACTTGTTGTAACTTATATATTGATTACATTGTAAAAGCTACTATTTGTGAGTCTTTGACGTAAATACAAGTAAACATGTAAGGTGTAACAGTATTCAATAAATAAGTCATACTAATATCATAAATGCGAAAGTTTAGATGGATTTTTGTTAGAGTTTGTAGCCTAAACAGTTGAACGGATTTCAATGAATTTTGGTATAGATATAGAGGATAGTCTGGAAGAGCACATAGGCTATTCACTTTTGTTTTTTTTTTTAATTTCTCGCGGATGTAGTCGCGAGCGAAAGCTAGTAATAAATAAATAATGTGCCAGTGGGCGGAGCGCGGCTCGCCGAACAAGATGCGCATCAGCGCGCAGAGCGGCCGCGCCTGGACGGAGAACCCCGACCACCCGCACTACCAGGCCGCCGCGCGCGCCACCAAGCTCATCTACCAGGTAGGCGCACATCACCATCACCACCATCACCAGCTCACTATACGTCCCCACCGAAGTGCTCGGAGTATATAATAAGTAGGTGATTAGATTGTCCTTGTATTGACGTTTGAATAATTTTCAACGATAATTCAATGTTAATTGTAATAATTATAACTGCCATAATAATTATAAGTGATGATACAATTAAAAATGTTTCAAGTGAAGTCAACTGTCTACTCTATATATTTGAATTTCTTTGTTGAAATATAAGGCAAACAAGAAAGGGTCCATCTAAATCCGCCGAAAAGGCGAGGCGATTGCTTCCCATAGAATCCGCAATTGCAGAAGTTTCATATCCTTTATCAACGGAGGAGATGCATTTAGAGAGGATATTTCCCTTTCCTAAGCGTTTCCTCCACCGTTAAATCAGCTTTCTCTTTCCATGCTTTTTATATAAGAGAACGATGGTAAGAGAAAAGGAGTTGGCTACCAGCACCACACTTATCAGACTCTACGCGGAATTATTCCCATATGACGCCTGTCTGTGTGAAGGTGGTATTGCACAGAACCAAAGACAAAAAGTTAAAGTGGGCTTTACATTGTAAAATGTTAGATTTATAAGCACAGAATTATATTTATAATTTTTCATAAGATACGGGTTTCTTACCACGATTGGATTGACGCCATGTTGACTCAGCCCCTGAACATGACGCATGCAACTGTGCCAAATATCGGGAGATGAAACAATCTAATCGTGGTGAGAAACCCGTGTCTTACGATCATTGTATTTGTTAAAACCACGACAGTTTAAAGTTATTAGAATTATGTTGTTTAGACTGAGCCGGACATGTCCCGCGAGGGCGGGTCCATCCCGGTGACGATAACGCTGCAGGAGGCGAGCGGCCGCAACGTG